CGTGCTGTAGTGCATTCTGTTTTGTCCCCTTCTCACAGGAGCGGTTTTGGCACGCCGCAGCCCGGCGGCGCGGCGCCCGCCCGGGCTCCGGGCGCGCCCTCGCTTGGTCCGCCCGCGCTGGACGCCCGCTCGCTGTTCGAGGCGCTGCAGGCAGCCAGCCAGGAGGACGAGCGCGCCCCGTCGGGCGGGCCTCCGCTCTCCCAGGTGGCGATCCTCCTCCTCCCCCCTCCTCTCCACCTCCTCCTCCCTCCTCGATCCTCCACCTCACCCCCACCTCCCTCCTCCTCCTCCTCGATTATCTTTCTCCTCCTCCTCCTCCACCTCCTCTTCCTCCTCTACCTTCTCCTCCTCGACTCTCCTCCTCCTCCTTCTCCTCCTCCTCCTCCTCCTCCTCCTAATCCTCCTCCTCCCCCTTCGTGAGAGACCTGGGCTCCCAAGTGGCGGAAGTGGCAGTCGGCGCCACTCTGGGGTGCCCGACTGAGACGAGGACGAGCGTCCGCGTGCAGAGAGTTCCAGAGAGTCCCCCTCGGGTCCCCCTCGTCCATTCCTTTCGCCCTCCTCCCACTTTCTCCCCTACTTCTCCCCCCCCACCCCCCGACAATTGCGACCTCGACGACCGCGACCACAACGGCGACCACGACGGCGACAACGACGACGACGGCGACGGCGACGGCGACGGCGACGGCGACGGCGACGGCGACGGCGACGACGACGACGACGACGACGACGACGACGACGACGACGACGACGACGACGACGACGACGACGGTGGCTTCAACTTGCCCGCGCCCCTCCTCTCAGAGAGCTTGCCGTCGCTTGGACGCGTGCATTGTTCTCGGCAAGACCATCGAGGAGGTCATCCTGCGGAAAAATGCACGCACGAAGCCGGAACATCTCCTGCGGGCTGCCCTCGCGGGAGCGCTGGGCAGCGATATTGGAAGCCTGCTGCGGGGCCGGGCTCGTGGGCACGCGCACCAGGCCCGCAGCCCAGCAGTGCAGCCTGCAGAAACAACGAATCGCGACCCAAGCCGCAATTGCGGCACACACGGAGAAGAACAAGCAGAAGAAGGCGAAGGCGAAGGACAAGGCGGGCCTCAAGGCCTGCGAGGACTCCCCCTGGCACGGCAAGGTGGTCCGCGTCACCGGGGAGGGGATCCACGAGGACAGGGTGGCAGAGGGCGGGTTATGGCGCCGCCAGCTACCCGCCCACGGGAAGCTTCTCCCCTGCGAGAGAAGCGGCGCCGCCAGGCCGCGGCGGAGACCCTCGCCCGTCCTGCGGGGTCTCAGTCCCTTGCAGGACTGCTTCTTCGTCTTGTGGGGCCACTTGCCCCTGAAGAGCTACTGGCCTTCCGTCCAGCCACCAACTGAAGAAAAGGCGCCCCCCCGCCTTTCGCCCAGTCACCAGCCGGCCGGCCAGCCAGGAGCAGGACGTCGGAGGCGAGCCGGACGTGAGGCCGCTCGGGCGCGTGAGCCGCGGCCCTCTCTGCTGGAGGCGCCCAGGCCAGGGGCTACACCTACAGTGGAGACCCATGCCAAGAAGCACCCCGATTGCCTCCAGGGTGCCCTGGGTTTCCTCGGTTTCGAAGGTTTTGCGCTGGAGAGCGCGACGTCTCCACGCCAGCAGTCGACAGGCGCCCTGGAGTCTCAGGGTTGGGTTTCTCGTGGAAGGTTTCTTGCGGACTGGCCTCCACTGAACCCGGCGGCGCTCGACGGCGCATTCTAGAGTGGTGGAAGTAACGAAGGCTGAGAAGCCAGAAGGCAACGAGGCACCCGTTATGCGCGGTCTTCTTGGTGGATTCTCCTGCCCCCCCAAGCCGCCGCGCGGCTCAGGGGCGAAATGTTTGCGCGGGGAGTGGGCGTCCGAGCGGTGGCAAGCTCAGGGGAGGCGCGCACATCGACGCCGGTGTTCGGGCTGGAGCAGGCCGGGTGAGGTCCAGGGGGGCAGCGGTGTTGGTATATTTTGGTCCGCCCGTCCTCTCGTCGGTTCCTCGCTTTTCGGGCTTTCTCGTCGTTTCTGGGAGGTTTCCCAGCCTTGTGGGTTCTCCATCAGCTTTGCCTCGCCGAGAGCGATCCGGGTCGCCCGGAAGGTTTCGAACGGCCGCTGGGGGCCCAAGGTATGGCCCGAAAACCACGAGCCTTCGAGCTTTGGAACAATGGGTCAGAGGAGAGCGCGCCCCTTCGGGCCTCGGCATCGCTCGGACGTGTGCGCATTTTCCTTCGGAGAGGGGTCTCGAGAAGCATTCTGGGTCATCTCTTGCGAGGGCTGCGCACGAAACCACCGAACGACGCACGGGGCGTGGATGTCCGAGCGATGGCAGCGCGTGCGTCATGCTGGACATATGTGTGTATATGTATATACATGATTACATACACACATATACACACACGCAAAGGGTGCAGTGGCCCTTCGCGCCATGCATGTTGGTCCTTCACTTCGCGCCTGCCATGCAGGCGTATTGGGATTCGTGCAGCGGGTGGCGTCTTTCGCGTGTGCGGATAGAGAATGACAGCGCGCTGGGAAAGAGGGATGCGTGGGAGGGGTGGGACGTTAGATGTTGCGCGAGCGCACTTGGCTTGTCATGAAGAGGGAAGTGTTTATTATATCAAGCTTCTTTCTATAATGGAGATCTGTGTGCGCGGATTAGTTGACGGACCGGGAACGAAGCCGATACGGTGTAAATGAATCCCCTCCCGCGGCGGCGTTTGCTGGGTTTGCTGGGGATTCGTAGGGATCCTGGGATCCCTTGGGACCTCTAGGCCCTAGGGCCCCCTAGGGAATCGTAGGATTTCTAAGGGTTCCGACGGAGCTTTACCGATGCTTAGGATTCTTTCAGGATTCCCAAGAAGTCTTCACGACAGGATTCTTCAGGACAGGACTCCTAATTGGTGACGCTTCGCGAATCCCCACCAGCCCCCCCCCCGCCGCCTGATCCGCGGCCCCCGCGCGCGCTCGGCAATTTAGTGGCCGCTGGCGCTTCCGCCTGCGGCTGTAAAAAAAAATAACAAAAAAAAATCCCCACCAGCATGTCGCACGAATTATCTGGCTCTGTGCTCCAGTCAGCCCGGTTGACACGCCCTCTGGACTCTTCCTTGCGGGCCGCAGATCAAAAAGAATCCCCACCAGCCCATCCAGAAACGATGCCCAGAGGAATCGCCTGGATCAGGGAAGTGGGCAGCACACAGAAGAAGCCATTATGAGACATCTTGGGATATCTTGAGCCATCTTGGAGGTCATCTTGGGCTCTTCCAGGCGCTCTTGGAATCATCTTATTCAGTGCTCCCCCTAAGAGGCCAACATGTGGCTAAAACCTTCGTGGAATCAATGATTTGGCATTCTCGCCGAGGCCTCTTGGAGCATCTTGTGTGCCTCTGGGGGGTCTCGGGGCCTCCTGGGTGCTTCTTGGGGCCATCTTGGAGGAGATCGATCAAACAAGAGGGGAGCATTAATTAGCGTCCCCCCCCAGGAGGCCACAATGGGGCCAACACCCTAGTAAAGCCAATGATTTTGGCTTCCTCGCCGAGGCCGTTTTGGCATTCTCGCCGAGGCCCTTAGGAGCATCTTGGATACCTCTAGGGGGTCTCTTGGGGCCTCTTGGGGGTCTCTTGGGGGCCTCCTGGGGGCCTCTTGCGGGCCTCTTGGGGCCATCTTGGGGCCATCCTGGGACCTCTTGGGACCTCCTTGGCGCTTCTTGGGGCTATCCTGAAGGAAATCGGTCAAACAAGAGGGGAGCATTAATTAGCGCCCCCCCCCCTGGAGGCCAAAATGGGGCAAACACCCTAGTAACACCAATGATTTTGGCTTCCTCGCCGAGGCCGTTTTGGCATTCTCGCCGAGGCCCCTAGGAGCATCTTGGATACCTCTGGGGGGTCTCTTGGGGCCTCTTGGGGGTCTCTTGGGGGCCTCCTGGGGGCCTCTTGGGGGCCTCTTGGGGCCATCTTGGGGCCATCCTGGGACCTCTTGGGACCTCCTTGGCGCTTCTTGGGGCTATCCTGAAGGAAATCGGTCAAACAAGAGGGGAGCATTAATTAGCGCCCCCCCCCCTGGAGGCCAAAATGGGGCAAACACCCTAGTAACACCAATGATTTTGGCTTCCTCGCCGAGGCCGTTTTGGCATTCTCGCCGAGGCCCCTAGGAGCATCTTGGATACCTCTGGGGGGTCTCTTGGGGCCTCTTGGGGGTCTCTTGGGGGCCTCCTGGGGGCCTCTTGGGGGCCTCTTGGGGCCATCTTGGGGCCATCCTGGGACCTCTTGGGACCTCCTTGGCGCTTCTTGGGGCTATCCTGAAGGAAATCGATCAAACAAGAGGGGAGCATTAATTAGCGCCCCGCACCCCCCCCCCCCCCCCCCCCCCCTGGAGGCCAAAATGGGGCAAACAACCTAGTAAAGCCAATGATTTGGCTATTCCCGCCGAGGCCGTTTTGGCATTCTCGCCGAGACTCTTTTTTTTCTTTTTTTTTTTTTTTTCTTGGAGCATATTGGGGGTCTCTTGGGGCCTCTTGGGGGTCTCTTGGGGGCCTCCTGGGGGCATCTTGGGGGCATCTTGGGGCCATCTTGGGACCTCTTGGGGCCTCCTGGGCGCTTATTGGGGCCATCTTGAAAGAGATCTATCAAAGAAGTGCGGAGCATTAATTAGGCTTGCCCCCCCAGGAGGCCAACATGGAGCCAAAACCCTTGTAACATCAATGATTTTGGCTTCCTCGCCGAGGCCGTTTTGGACGCCCTGACACCTCGCGGCCCTTCCCGTCCAGGTCCTCGGGGAGGGGGTAGGGGGAGGGGTAAACCCCTCCCCGAAGGGGAAGAAGGAGGGGTGGAAGAGGAAACGCCCTAAACCACCGACACCCAGAGGGCTGGTGGGATTAGTTCTAAGAGCGCTCAGCAATCCCCGACGATTCCCTAAGGATTCGCACGATTCCTCAGGACCCTTGGGAATCCTTAGGAATCCTTGGGGACCCTAGCGACAATTTGAAACAGAACCATGTGGGTTCGTATTACCATTCTTGCACACGGATGCTCGACAATCTTCCCGCGTGTAGGGTATCCAACGGCAGATTACCTTGTGGGCGCAACAAGCACCCAACAATACCCCGCATGGCGAACAATAGTGCTTACATGACACGCGCGGCAACAACCGAACGAACTCACCACAACTACGGCGGGCTCGTACATCGCACGATCACATGCGCAAGACCCGTATACATACGACGAAGACAGCGGCGAAGGCGACGCGCTTGGTCGATCGGGGACGTAGCGCGTGATGTTTCAGCCGTTTTGCAAACGAGCTCGTGCAGGGTCGCCCAGCAAGCACTGTCCGGTGGGAGAAGAAGCGCCCAGCAATACTCAGCACGGACATGCATAGTATGCAACGATTTGCACGCGCGGCAACCACCGAACAAACGCCGCACAACGCTGGCGGGATGTTACTGCGCACGTCATTTGCGCGGACCCCATGTGAGGAGGGCGAGGAGGGAGAGCGAGGAGTAGGGCAAGGAGGGGAGGGGCGAGAAAGGCAGGGACGACTACTTTCAGCTCAAAGCAAAGGGAGGGAGGGCCATCATAAAGGACCCTTCTCGCTTACCCCTTTCCCCGCTCCCCCTGCTCGCCCCCCCTTGCTCCTCTTCATCCCTCTCGCCCAGGTCTCTTGGGTTCCTTCTTCGAGGAGGCCACCGCGGGGGGGAGGGCCCCCGATTTTCTTTTCGGGAACTAGGCCAGGCGGTGGCGTACGTGGCGGATCCCCGTCTGATCCAGTGCGCCACCTGCCTGGCCCCCAGCTCCCACACCCATCGAGCACGCACCTTGCGAAGCCGCGCGCCTTCCTCCGTCTCGTGCTCCTCCCTCCCCCGCTGCCCGCGCCGCCCCCCCCCCCCTCCCCGCCGCCAGGACCGCCTCTCCAGCTGCTCCCCCTCGAGCCCGTCCAGGGGCTCCAGCGGCTACACGCTGCCCGACCGGCGATGACCGCCGCGCCTTGCCGGCGACGAGCGCGGGGCGGAGCCACCGGCGCTCCCCCCCGCGGCCGCCCCGCCCTGGGCGGCGGCGCACCATCCACCCTGAGACCCCGGCGTTGCAGTGTGTGTTCGCACGGGGCCTCACGAGGGGAACGAGCAGTGACATAAACATAAAAACATTCGGAGGTCCGCGCGGATTTCCCGGATCGGCGCTGGACCCCGTTGGCGGCGCCTCCGGCGCCGCCCTTTTGCGCGCCCCGCGCACCAGGGAGGGGTGTCCAGCGCGGATCCAAGAAATCCGCGCGGACCTCAGAGTATCTATGTTGATGTAATTGTTCGTTCCCCTATTTACGGCAGGTTCACGCAGCGTTGGCGCGCCGGCGACGCCGGCGGCGGCGTTCCAGGTGGAACTCTGCGACGCGGGAGCACCGATGGACACAGTAACGCCACGGGACTCGATTGGATTCAAGCTTGAATGATCGTGGCCGCGATTGGTTAAAGGTTGATGAATGGACGTGGTGCCAAATCCCTTCCGACGCCGCACGAACCTACCGAAGTTGCCCTGATACGGCCGTTCTGAAACGTAGCACGTGCCGTGTTCAAAGCGTCCGCGTCAACAAGCTGCGTGTTGGCTCACAACGTGCTGGCTCAAGGTTTGGCGAACGTATCGCGTCCGGCCCACGGGGATGATGATGATGATAATGATGATGATGCTGATGCTGATGCTGAGGCTGATGATGATGATGATGATGATGATGCTGATGCTGATGCTGATGCTGATGCTGATGCTGATGCTGATGATGATGATGATGATGATGATGATGATGATGATGATGATGATGATGATGACGATGATGATGACGATGACGATGACGATGACGATGAGGAGGAGGAGGAGGAGGAGGAGGAGGAGGAGGGGAGAGGAGGGAGAAGGAGGAGAAGGAGGACGAGGAGGAGGAGGAGGAGGATGACACACACACACATGCACACAGTACACATTCACACATATATACATACAGACAGACAGACCGACTGACCGACCGACCGACAGACAGACAGACAGACAGACATACATCCATACATACATACACAAAAAGACCACACACTCACCACACCACACACAACACATAAGCACACACACACACGCAAGCATGCACGCACGCACACACACATACACACACGTACGCACACACACACACAAACACACTACAGACACACACACACACACACACTCGCACTCACGCACGCACGCACGCACCCACGCACATTCACACACACACGCACACTACACACACTAGACACAGTACACACACTACACACTACACACACTACACATACTGCACACCCTACAGACACACACACCACACACACACACACTACACACACTGCACACACAACACACACTACACACACTACACACACTACATACACTACACACACTACATACACTGCACATACGCACAGTACACACCACCCACACACACACACACTACACACCACACACACACACACCACACGCACACACACACACACCACACACACAACACACACGCACACACACACACACACACACACACTTTGTTTCCTCGTAGCAGTAGGGGTACTTTTTTTATTTTCCTTCCAGAGGAACTCAGGGGAGGGGCCCCTCTGGAGGTGTCCCGGGGTTGGTTTTTGGGGGGGGGCGCGTGTTGGGCCTTTCGGGCGGGCCTTCTTGGATGCCTCCCGGGGCGCGTTCGGGCCATCTTTGGAGCTCCTCTTGGGTCGTCGCTGTTGGGCCGTCTGACGCTGTCGGAGGCCGTCTTGGGGGCCTCTCGGGGCTGTCTTGGGGAGCTTTACGGCCGTCTTGGGACCCTTTCGGGGCCACCTTGGGTCCCTCGTGGGGGCTCTTGGTGCATTGTCTTGTGGCGATATTGGGGTCCTCTGGGGTTGCCTTGAACGCTCGGAATACAGAAACGGCAAGGGTCCGAGCATCAGTGACATGTGTATCATATGTTTGTGTCTCTTGAGGCCCGCCGGAGCACCTGAGGATATCTCTTGAGGCCTTCTTTGGGCGTCTCGGGGCCAGGGCTTCTTGGCCTCTTTGGTTGTCTTGAGGCCATCGTGGGTCGTCTCGGAGCCATCCTGGGCCATCTTGAAGGTATTCTCAGCCTACCGTGGGCTCACCGTGGACATCTTGGCCCGACGGGATGCTGACCATGGCCCTCTAGGGGGCCCTCTTGGAGCCATCTTGGACGGAACAGCCCACGAGTATCACCCTTTCCGCGCGGCTGGCGGGTTCCCCGATGGCTTGCATGCATCAGAGTGTGTGTCTTCATATGTATTGGGTTTCTAGGGCGGGCGGGATGTGAGCACCGCGCCAGTGTGTGGCACGTCCAGTATGTTGACATCTTCGCGCTCTTGTTGACTAAACCCAAAACTGTGTGATTCGAATACGAATTTCAATGCTAGAGAAAAAAGTTAGTATTAGGAGCATTTCTGTTTGGCGAAAAAGTTAAAAACCACAGCATGCCGATCACCACAGCAGGCTCCGGGGTCGGTGGAGCTGGTGGCCTTCGGCCCATCGCGTCACGGCGCTTGGGTGTAGACCAGAGGCCTGCTCGGGTGTTTTTGTTTTTTGTTTTTTTTTTGTTGTTGTTTTTCTTGTTTTGATTTTTTGTGTTGGGTTTGTTTGCTTTCTTTCATTTTTCTTTTGTTTCTGTTTTGTGTTTTTTGTTTTTTTGTTTGTTGTGTTGTGTGTCGTCTTTTTGTTTTTTTTGTTCTTTTTTTGTTTTGATTTGTTTTTGTCCGTTTGCTCTTGTCTGTTGGTTCTGTGCGCGGGTTCTCGAGGGATTATTGGACGGGCTTCTGGGGGACCCCTTTGGGTCCGTCTGTGTGCCTCTTGTCGGATGCGGCCGTCTCGTGGATCCCTCCTGAGGTGGAGGGGCCCCGACCAGTGGGAGTTCCCCCTCTGGGGGCCTTCTGGGGGCCTCCCGGGAGCCTCCTGGGACCCTCTTGTGGGGGCCTTGTGGAGGGATTTTGGGCCCCTTGGGCCGTGTTGGATGCTCTAAAGGCAAAAAAACGAATGTGCGCAACGCATGCAACAGTTCAATATTTTTCCATAGTTTTGGCCGGCCCCCAGGGCCTCCAAGACGGCCCGAGGAGGAGGAGGAGGAGGAGGAGGAGGAGGAGGGAGGGGGAGGGAGGAGGAGGAGGAGGAGGAGGAGAGGGGAGGAGGAGGGGAGGAGGCGGAGGGGGGGAGGAGGGAGAGAGGAGGAGGGGGATGAGGAGGAGGAGGAGGAGGAGGAGGAGAGGAGGAGGAGGAGGAGAAGGAAGAGGGAGGAGGAGGAAACGGTCCTTGAGGCTACGGCGGGTTCCCAAATTTTTCGAGCGCTCTTGGACTGCCCTGGGGGAAAACGCCGGGCCACGAGCCACACGCCGGAGGCTCTCAGTCCCCACAGCTGTAGGACTCTTTGGGCACTCCACTGCGATCAAGTCGGGCATGTCCCTCTACAGAAGGAGTATTCAACACAGTTGTCAGGGGGCGATTTTTGCGAGAAGTCTGTCAATGTTTGAATATTTTTGGCTATTCTTTATTTTTCGTCCAAAATCCGCCTGTAGGGGGGACACGCCCGACCTAACTCTACGGTAGGCTTGCGCCATGTCGGCGTGGCGGCGACACCTGCGCGGGCGATCAAGGCTGATCGCCGTCAGTGGCCTGCAGGGATCGGCCGATCTCCAGGGACCTGCGCTGTCGGCCGCGACCGCGCCAGGTGGAGCGATCCACGCCGCATCAGAAGCCACCGCCGGCGTCGTCACGACACGGACCTGCGGTACGTGCTCCAGACACCCCAGCGGATCGACGCCATGCTACGGAGATGAGAACACTTCTGCGCTGGACCCTTCTGGCGGCGCCTCCGGCACCGCCCCGGGCGCGCTCCGCGCGCCAGGGAGGGGGGCCCAGCGCCGACCCAGTGTCCACGCGGAGCTCCGAAAATTTATGCTGGTGCAGTTCTTGCTTCGCCCAGCGCTGCTCCTGTACATCGGAAACTGGAGCATATACATTACCAGTGGTTGGCTGTTTTTCAATCCCGGGATTTTTTGAGGGTCGGGGACGACGTCGGGGTGGTGTGGTGTATATTGTGTCCCCATATTCCCAGGGAAACAACAAATTTATACACCAGGGTCCCTTGCATACACCAGCATCCGCCTCCTTGTGCGAGTTTCAGTGCAGGGCCGGACAAAGCGTCGGTGTATAGAGTTCGGCTCCTTAGCATAGCGCCTGGCTGCGCCATCCCGCGGCAGGGCCGCCGTTGACGTCGCGAGAGAGCGGCGCTGGGCGCGCTGTTTGAATCTCGAGGAGTCTTCTGGAGGAACGCCCCTTCGGCCAGTGTGGAGCACTGCGTGGGCGCCCCAGCGCTCTCGTCCTCCTCCTCCTCCTCTTTCTCCTCCCTCCCCTCGTTCTCCCCATCCTCCTCCGCCCACTCCCCCTCCACCTCAACACAAACGAACTCAACTCAGTGCACCGCTAGTGGGACGGCGTTGATGCCGAACCTCCTGGACAGGAAGGGGAGGATATTTGTCCTCCTCCTTCCTCCTCTTCCCCTTCCTCGCCCTCCTTCCCTCCTCCCCCTCGTCGTCCTCCTCCATTCCTTTTCCTCATTCCCTACCTAGGCTCTGCCTAGAAGGGTTCTTACTGTCTATGCTTAAAAAGCCGGGCAGTGGATAACGCCCCGGGCGGTTCCCCCGGCATCCGCCCCGCGGTTCCCCCCAGTTACGTCTCCTTAGCTTAGCGTTGCTTATCTCATCTTAGCTGATCCTAGCTTAACTTAGCTTAGCCTAGCCTGGCCTAGCTTAGCTTAGCTTAGCCTAGCCTAGCCTAGCTGACCTTAGCTCAACTTGGCTTAGCTCAGCGTAGCATAGCATAGCGCAGGGCAGCATTAGCATAGCATAGCATAGCATAGCATAGCGCAGCGCAGCATAGCATAGCGCAGCATAGCATAGCATTGGCATAGTATAGCATAGCATAGCATAGCATAGCGCAGCATAGCATATCATAGCATAGCTTAGCTTAGCATAGCTCAGCGCAGCATAGCATAGCATAGCATAGCATAGCATAGCACATCATAGCATAGCATGGCGCAGCATAGCCTAGCATAGCATAGCGCAGCATAGCATAACATAGCATGGCATAGCGCAGCATATCATAGCGTAGCATAACATAGCATAGCATAGCGCAGCATAGCGCAGCATAGCATAGCATAGCATAGCCTAACATAGCATAGCATAGCGCAGCATAGCATAGCATAACACTAGCAACTATTATTATTACTACTACTGCTACTACGTATACTACTACCACTACTAGTAGTACTAGTACTAGTACTACTACTACTACTACTACTGAGAGGTGAGGCACTACTACTACTACTATACTAGGACTCACTGTCTAACTACTACTAACTACTACTACTACTACTACTACCACTACTACTACTACTAACGAACTACTAAACTACTACTACTACTACTACTCTTAACTAACTACTACTAACTAACTACTACTACTACTACTACTATGCTACTACTACTACTACTACTACTACTACTACTACTACTACTACTACTACTACTACTACTACTACTACTACTACGACTACTACTACTACTACTACTACGACTACTACTACGCTACTACTAA